GGGGGGGGGGGGGGGGAAGAAGTAGGGTGAAAAAATGGGTTAGGGTAAGGAGAAAGACAGTTAACCTTTGTCTTTTCTCTTTTTTACGTAAATATACTAACATTGAGGGAAAACTTAGAAGGGAAAGTTAATCTTTTTGTGCTCTTGGAGATTATAGGTAGGGGAAGTCAAAGTAATGGGACACATCAAATTATATAATAATACTACTTTGTTATTAATTAACGCAAGTAGGTGTAGCATATTAAAATACTGCATTCAAGTGGAGTGAGACAAGACTAGAATCTCTAGATAGACTACTGCTTTCTTACTCGCCCAAAAATTATTGTGCTTAGAAACCAATATTTGGAGTTGAGACATTCGATTTGCACCTTGTATAAAGAGGATTTTCTGGATACAATGCCACGTTGGTTATTTACTAAAAACAAAGGCCTCTAGTCTAGAATCTATCTAGGCAGAGGTTCTGAAGGAAATACACATTGTAACGAAAACCTAAGTAAATTTTTGTTTCCTACTTAACAAAATTAAACAAATAAGAGATTGCTTAATTAGTTTAATTTCGTTGATGATTCAACGAATGGCGCATGTTAGGTAAATGTAAATGCTATACAACAAATGATATGAGTAGTATTGAAACAGTAGAGAAGAGGGTCTTTGTCTTTTAATAGGAGTAACTCTTTATTATGACAAGAAGAAAGTGATGATGCGAAAGTTGGTCCAATAATAATTCTTTTCTGGCAACGTGGTGGTGAAAAGTGAGAACTGAGATTAGCTGAATTTGGAGGGGATATTAAAACGAGAAGGCAATTTATCGATCAACTTTTACCGTCCAAAATATACCATGCATATTCCATATATATATAATATTGCAGCACCATATATTCACGATCAATCCTCACAAACTTGCCCTTGTTTTCGACGTCAAGCTTTTACATCATTCAATAAATCAGTTGGTCAAACATATTACATACTATAATATATTCATGTCACGTAGATCGTGTCATGTTTAATATTTTCACACACACGGGTTCACTGTCAAAGCACAGGAATATACCCATTGTTAAATCGTCATATATATCTTCCACAGATCTACTTAGTTAAGGCAGAAAATATTTCATCCCTATCTGATCGTTATGATATTTTCAGCCAAAATCCTTAACAAACACAAACTAAATAGACCTTGGATTAGGGTACAATATCGATGAATTAGTACAGGACAACATGGTCATCTTCATATACTATTTTACTACTAGCTAGCTAGGGGTACCCACGTTTCCACCCAAAAACATCTCACACCAGTCATCTTTGACTAAGCCCTTCCTTCCAGCGGAGTGTGTAAAGGGACAGCCACAAGTTTGGTCGTACATTCACTTAATTGGTGATAACGTAATTAAGTAATTCATTTTGCTATAAGTCTGCAACGGCTATATTTC